AGCCCTGTTTCCCCTGAATAAAATGATATATAATAAGTGTGGGTGCACATAATATGAAAGAGTTGAATTACGCCTGAACAGACATATTCACCTCATTGGAATAGGAGACTTAGTTCAGTGTAATAGTTGCTATGCATTTGTTTCACGTTCCACTTTTTGGAGGTTTGGTTGTTGTCTAATCTGTAGACAGTTCTCTACCTTGCGGCAGGAGATTGTATTCTTGAAGTCCAAGATTTGTAAATTATCTGGTAAACAAACTCAGACTGGAACTGCTGCAAAGCCACTGCCGCAGAGACATACTAGGAATGGCAGATGGATTACTGTAGGATCTGGTAGACTTAGAGTTGTGGATAAAAGGCATATTGCACAGTCTGTTGCTCTACATAATTAATTTTCAGCACTTTCAGAGTGTAATGGTGTTATGGAGACAGGCACTGAGGGTAGTGGTGTTGTGGAGAGAGGCACCGAGGCTAGTGGTGTTGTGGAGACAGGCTCAGTCACTGAGGCTAATGGTGTTATGGAGACAGGCTCAGGTACTGAGGGTAGTGGTGTTGTGGAGACAGGCTTGGAGACTATGGTAAGGTGTAATAGAAAGCAGTTCTTGTTGGGGGATTCCATCATAAGAGGTGTGGAGATGGACAATTGTGGTCTTGTGAGGTGTCTTCCCGGAGCTACTGCTCACAGAGACAGGAGACGTATCTGTAATATTGTTAAGCAAGGAAAGCAGGAAGGGGAATTGGATGTACTTGTCCATCTAGGGACAAATGACTTGGTTTGCAATGAGGTTTCAGAGGTTAAGGAAGTTTTTAGTGTTTTTGCCAATGATATACGGCAGGTTGCTTCCACGCTGTCATTCTCTGAAGTTCTGCCTGTGCATAACACTCAGAACGACAGGCGGATGCGTATTAGGGACTTTAATTTGTGGCTTGGTGAATGGTGTCGGGAGCAAGGATTTAGCTTTATTTCTCATGGTAGCTCTGTTTGGAATGGAAATAACCTGTACAAAAAAGATGGTTTGCATCTTTCTCAAAAGGGAACAAATGTTCTCAGTGAGCAGTTTAGAGGTTTTGCTAGGATGTATTTAAACTAAGAAGGGGGGGCAAAAGGGTGATAAAACATCAATCCAATTGTCCCCCAAAACAAGGACAGAAGGTGCCTGTAGCAAGTGTGTTAAAAAATGATAAGCTTAGAGTCATGTCTACAAATGCTCGCAGTTAAGGGAATAAGATCCATGAACTTGTGGCAATAATGGCAACTGATAGTGTAGATTTAGTCGCTGTTACTGAGACATGGTACAATGAGAAAAATGACTGGGACATAGCAATACCAGGGTACTCGTTATATAGAAAAGACAGGGAAGGCAATAAAGGGGAGGGGTGGCCCTGTATGTGAAGGATAGCATAAAATCTAAGAATTTGTATGTCTGCTGAACAGCAACGATTTTAACTTACGATTCACTAGTGAAGTAGGGGGTCAAAACCTTTGCTTTCTAGATCTAGCACTACAGGTATCTAAAGAAGGCAAAATTGAAACAACCTTGTACAGAAAGAAGACAGCCTCAAATAACCTGCTATGCTGGTCTAGTCATCACCCCATATCACTCAAATCCGGTATCCCAATAGGCCAATATTTGAGACTTCGACGGAACTGCTCCACGATGGAGGAGTTCAAATTAAAAGCAAATGAGCTGTGTCACATGTTTAAGGCCAAAGGTTACCCAAATAGGGTTCTGAAAAGAGCCTATCTGAGGGCAATCCACACTGAACGGGAAACCCTAATTACAGATGGGGGTCGTAAGACTGAGGAAAATAAAATACGCTGCATAGGTACATATGATGCAGGATGGGACACTATGCTAAATGTCTTTCAAAAATTCTGGCCTATCCTCCAATCAGATAAGCATCTGAAGGAAATTCTGCCATCACTCCCTTCAATTACAGCACGGAGGGGCAAAAACTTGAGAGATATCCTAGCACCTAGTCACCTCTCAACTACGTCCCCGTCAGGTTATTTTCAAAAATACCTACCAATGGGTTCTTTCCAATGTGGTCACTGCAGTGCATGCCCGCTTATTACCAAGAGGGCCTCTGACAGCAAGGGCTTAATGAATTTCAAACCACGTTCCTTCTTTAATTGTAACACAACAGGAGTAGTTTACCTACTGTCTTGCTCCTGTGGCCTAAAATATGTAGGCAAGACTTTTCGCCACTTCAGGCTAAGGATACGTGAACATGTAAATTCTGTCAAGAGACGTTTGGAAACACCTGTCTCAAGGCATTTACATCTACATCACAATCACTCCTCGGCAGGCATCCGGTTCATGGGTCTTGAACATGTACCACAGCCTCCTAGAAAAGGAAACTGGGACCTAAAACTAAGACAAAGAGAGGCGTTTTGGATTTACCATCTCAAAACGCTATCTCCCCTGGGGCTAAATGAAGGGTTTTCATATTCCCCGTTTATTTAAAGTACTGCAATAATTCTGATAATAAATGGTATCTTAAGTTATGCCTGTATATATGTATATATTCTTTATTTATTTCTATTATATTTGGTGTTCATATGTCCATTAATTTTACCTGTATTATAGGTCTAAGAGTTTAGGGGTCTGTTTTGTGTTGCATAAACTAATGGGTTACTATTTACAGTGGCAATAAAAGAATTGTCGGCTTCTGTGTATGACTGCCCATATAGCCATTGTACTTATCCCTTACTGGTTCACAACGGTTATAAGTTGTCTCTTTAATTGTACTAAAGCTACACAATACAGCCATAAGAATCAATCCACACACTTGACCTATATGATACAATTTGGACATTCCAAGGGTTAACTGTTAAGCTATGGATACTGCCTTTTAGATATAGTAAGTATCCATTTATATCTGTTCCGGGCGGGGCACTTAAAGGGTTAATTCCCTTTCACCTGATTTCTGTTCTGGCTACCTCTAACATAGAAATGTGGGCTGACACTATGGTGTGTTACACCACACCCCCACAGCCCCATTCGCAGGAGGACCGGAGCAATTTAGACACAATCACAGGTGATTACAATAAAGCTTATGAGCTTAAGGTATAAATTTACCACCCGGACAGTCTTTTTGCTCACTGCTGATACCCCTGAGGACGGCGTGTGGTCACGCCGAAACGTACGTCGGGTTCTTCTGTGTTTTTAAATACTCTCTTGAGCACTTTGCTCTGAGCACCTTTTCATTTATGTTTTTCTAGTATGTGTGTGTAACCTGGGGCTTCAGATGTTATGACAGCATTTAGATTAGAACACCCACGAAGGTGTTTTATAGGAGATAGGGTATTAGCATAGCACTACTGTTTGGTTGGGAGTGTGTGTTTCTCCCTTTCCCTGTTCTTTCCTACTGCTTTGTTACCTTAGTTATGTATGGGGGTACATATTGCCTTCTATCCCCTCTCCGTTTCTTGTGAGGGTTGGCTCTTGATTAGCCTTGTTCCTACCATACATATTTCTCTCTATATTATTCTGTCCATCACTGATTACCCAGGTTTTTTAATAGATTTCAATAAAGGCTTTTTTATTTTTTGGCAACTACACTACTGTTGAGATTGGACTGGGTATTTACCCTCTGGGCGGTCTTTATATAAGACATCCCTTTTTGGGTTTTTTTCTTCCTTTTTTCTAGCATAAAATCTAGCCTAATAAAAGTTAGTGAGGCAAAAATAGAGTCCGTTTGGGTTATGTTAGAATTTCGTAATCACACAGTAACCCGTGTAGGTGTGATTTATAGGCCCCTAGGACAAACAGAAGAGTTAGATAATCTACTAGTTGAGGAAATAGCTAAAATGACAATGAAGGGGGAAGTTATCATCATGGGTGACTTTAATCTTCCTGATGTGAATTGGAAAACAAAAATAGCTGCTTGAGCCAGGAGCACACATATTCTAAACTCCCTACTGGGATTGTCTCTAAAAAAAAGTAGTTGAGGAGCCAACTCGTATAGAGGCCATACTAGATTTATTGTAAAAAAAAGGAGATTTGGTATCAGATATTACTGTAGGTGAAAGTTTAGGATTCAGTGATCATCAGTCATTGTGGTTTAATATAAGAACAGTGACTGAGTCACACCACACAAAATGGGACCTGATGGAATACACCCAAAGCTATTAAAAGAGCTTAGTGGTGTACTAACAAAACCATTAACAGATTTATTTAACCAATCATTGTTAACAGGAGTAGTCCCAGAAGATTGGAAGTTAGCGAATGTTGTGCCCATTTACAAGAAAGGTAATAGGGAGGAGTCAGGCAACTATAGGCCAGTAAGCCTTACTTCAGTAGTGGGGAAAGTGATGGAAACCATGTTAAAGGATAGAATTGTTGAACATCTAAAAACACATGGATTTCAAGATCAGAGACAACATGGGTTTACTTCAGGGAGATCATGCCAAACTAATCTTATTGATTTTTTTGATTGGGTAACTAAAATTATAGATCAGGGTGGTGCAGTAGACATTGCTTACCTAGATTTCAGTAAGGCTTTTGACACTGTTGCACATAGAAGGCTTATCAATAAACTGCAATCTTTAAGTTTGGATTCCAATATTGTTGAATGAGTAAGGCAGTGGCTGAGTGACAGGCAACAGAGGGTTGTAGTCAATGGAGTATATTCGAAGCTGGGACTTGTCACCAGTGGGGTACCTAAGGGATCTGTACTTGGACCCATTCTCTTTAATATTTTTATTAGTGATATTGCAGAAGGTATTGATGGTAAGGTATGTCTTTTTGCTGATGATACTAAGATATGTAACAGGGTTGATGTTCCAGGAGGGATAAGCCAAGTGGCAAATGATTTAGGTAAACTAGAAAAATGGTCAGAATTGTGGCAACTGACATTTAATGTGGATAAATGCAAGATAATGCATCTTGGACGTAAAAACCCAAGGGCAGAGTACAGAATATTTATTTGAGTCCTAACCTCAACATATGAGGAAAGGGATTTAGGGGTGATTATGTTTGATGACTTAAAGGTAGGCAGACAATGTAATAGAGCAGCAGGAAATGCTAGCAGAATGCTTGGTTGTATAGGGAGAGGTATTAGCAGTAGAAAGAGGGAAGTGCTCATGCCATTGTACAGAACACTGGTGAGACCTCACTTGGAGTATTGTACACAGTACTGGAGACCGTATCTTCAGATGGATATTGATACCTTAGAGAGGGTTCAGAGAAGGGCTACTAAACTGGTTCATGGATTGCGGGATAAAACTTACCAGGAAAGGTTAAAGGATCTTAACATGTATAGCTTGGAGGAAAGACGAGACAGGGGGGATATGATAGAAACATTTAAATATATAAAGGGAATCAACACAGTAAAGGAGGAGACTATATTTAAAAGAAGAAAAACTACCACAACAAGAGGACATAGTCTTAAATTAGAGGGACAAAGGTTTAAAAATAATATCAGGAAGTATTACTTAACTGAGAGGGTAGTGGATGCATGGAATAGCCTTCCAGCTGAAGTGGTAGAGGTTAACACAGTAAAGGAGTTTGAGCATGCGTGGGATAGGCATAAGGCTATCCTAACTATAAGATAAGACTAGGGACTAATGAAAGTATTTAGAAAATTGGGCAGACTAGATGGGCCGAATGGTTCTTATCTGCCGTCACATTCTATGTTTCTATATAGCGCAATTTCACGTTTTTGTTTATGTTTTGTTTTGATCACAACGTGTACATTTGGCTCAATCCTTAAGGGGTTAAAGGATTTTATTCCATATGAGCCTAACATTGTTTTTAGAGGTGCCCGATATTTCAGATCTTTTCTGACCACAAACTACACTAAGACTAAAACCAGCCATTTCTTATCTTTCTTACCACAAACCAAAGTTTTTTAAAATGTTATAGATGTACGGTATGTAGAAACAGATAGAGTATAAAATCAAAAACGACGCTGTTTATATCAACTAACACTAAAATGTCTCATGAAATTAGAGATCTCATCTGTTGTACTACTAAGAATTTTATATACCTATTTGAGTGCCCTTGTGGCCTCCAATACATTGGGATGACCTCATGATGTTTAAAAACAAGATTGGCAGAACATTGCCGCTCTGTATGGAAAAATTTTCTAATCCATGATAAAAATCCAAAGCATCTAAACTGTATCGGAATTCAGAAATGGAAAATCCAATGGAGAGGTGGAGATCTTTAAAATATTTTATGCCAAAAAGAAATGAATTGGGTTTTTAAACCCTGGCCCCAAAAGGCCTGAATGTAGATTTTGACCGTTTTAACTTTTTATAACTTTTTAAGAATTTATCCTATTACTTCCTATACAATACCTTTTTTATCCCCTTTATATTGTTTATTCCTAAACATATACATTTTAAGATTAACTCTCAGTTATACACATTGTTATAAAAAAAATAGCCATAATTAACTGTACTATACTTAACTATACTTTCTCAGTCTTATTGCTCTATGTATCTACAGTCTTATATATAACTGATTTTATATTTCTTTTATTTTAACATTCTGTATATCCTGTAATGGTCTACAGTTTTAAGTGTATATATAAATATCCCTTTGCAATGTATTCTTGGCCGTTGCTAACCCCGTCCACAATATGACCGCTACAATGTCTATCCTTATTCCAAGGGCAAATTGAGTCTGCCCACCATAATCCCTCTTGTTAGATACATTGTATTGCTTTTGTTTGCTATGGAGAGATGGGGGGATTTGAACTTATTTTATTACCTGGTATCCTGACTTTACCCCCAGTAAAAACGACTCAAGAAATCCTGAGGTGGGGATTATTCCACCCGCGCCCTATAGAGCAATTTGTCTGCTCTGGTAAATGTGAGTAATATTCACTTATTTATTCTTCTGGTTGTTTTTATACAGTCATTTTTTTTTTTTTTTTTTTTTTTGTTCCACACATGATTGAAACCATTCTTCACGTATCCTTTAAGTGGGGATTGTACCACTGCAAGCCTTCCATACTAAAGCTGTTTTAAAGCTCTAAAAAACGTGAATAGGATCATATATATGTTTATTCTTATTTTTATATTTTCTGGACATACTGCACCATCATCTTCTCCTTCTCTCCACATACAGACCGCATCTGAAATCCCAACAAGAAGATTTTCCTTGAACAAATTTGTGATTGCTCTTCCAGAAAGTATATACCATCATCTTTCGATCTTGGACATGTATTTAATATTTAATATTTTATTATTCTATTTATCTTATTTTATATTTATTTGTTTTTAAGGCATCTTATGCTGGTTATAATATCCTAACCACTTTTTATATTTTGTACTTAATCACTATTTATGTTTGCTTAGGTTTTATGTTATTAGTAAGTCACCTACAATTTCTCAGAATAGCCCCGCCACTCACACCCCTAAAATTAAAGAGTCCGTCTTTGTCCATTGGAAAGTTGGGAGGTATGATATTGGACAAACAGCTGCAGATAGATTGGACAGCTTGCTTGCAGTGTGCCCAGATCCACAATGTATACATTCTTTATCTAATAACGTCCTTAAAACATCCTTTGTGGTTGTTTTCGATCACTGATTTCAATGTAACTCATTTCGACATTTCATTTACCACTGAGCCTTGTGTTATTGCCAGACTGATAAATTTCAATTCATTTCCATGTGTTTCCTGATGCTACATGATGCTAAGTGTTTAGTTTTTTTCAGCTTTTTCTGCTTGTTCTTCTCTGTACTTCTCTGTTTTCCTAGGAACAGTTCATCACAGTCAATATAAGGTTCCTCTCAGCCCCCGACACTAGGCTTTTTAATACTTTCTATCACAATGTGATTTCGGCAACAACCAGTACAGATCGGCATCTTTTCAATTTGTGATTAAAGCTGATCGTTTTAATTAAAGGAACACTATAGGGACACAAACATGTTTTCCTGACCCTATAGTGCTAAACCCACTATTTAGGTGGCTTGTCCCCCTTAGCCCCTCTATAAAAGTTTAAAACTCACCTTTTGGCCAATCAGGACCTCTTAATATTGAATCAGTGCATCTCTATGAGGAAAATTTTGCGTCTCCATGCAGAGCGTTGGGACACTGAATGTCAGTGCTGCTTTTTCGGCAGCACTGACCCAGGCAGCACCTCTAGTTGTCATCTTAAGAACGGCCACTTGGAGGTGTTCCTATGGGCAATGTAAACACTGCCTTTTCTCTGAAAAGGCAGTGTTTGCATGAAAAAAATCTGGTGGGAGCTATTATACTCACCAGAACAAATACATTAAGCTGTAGTTGTTCTGGTGACTCTAGTGTCCCTTTAAAAATTAGGGATTTATATCATGTTCTTATAATCAGTGTAATATTTCCAACTGTGTAAATACTTGTGCATTTAAACATCATTTATCATTTCCTGACAGCTAGGGGTTTCTTTGTCATGTTTGTAAAATATAGAAACAGTTGTCCACTGCTCTATCCTGCCATTATTTTCACGCCTCACAACTATTTATTTGTTAAATGTATGGATTAGTAAACATAATATTAAAAATGCTATGAAGTGGCTGGTCCTCTGTAAACATGTCACATTTGCAGAACCTCTCATTTTCGGTGTAACTGTGCTCCTGCAAAGCAGTGCAAGCTGTCGTCAATTCAGACAATTCATCGTTATTATCAAAATCGTGTACGAGGGAAAAATCTGTCAGTGTTTTAAAAAAAACCTCTTTCCTTGAGACTTGAGACTTAAATTAGCCTTTCCAATGTGCGGCTGATTTACTGTAGCATGTGGCTTAGTATCGCGTAGTATCTCGGAAGACACTACCTTGCAGAAAATTTTCCCATATTTGTTTCCAATCATAATTCCTTTAGGACATTCTTTCACTCTTGTTGTAGTAGTACAGACAGTATGAAAGGATTTCAGAGACCTAGGGATAGGATTCAGCTCATGTACCTGTATGTGAAAGCAACTCATGCACTGATCAGCCACAACATTAAAACCATTGACCATGAAGTGAATAACATTGATTGTATCGTTACAATGACACCTGCCACGGGATAGGAAGCAAGTAAACAGTCAGTTCTTGAATTTCTTGCGTTGAAAGCAGGAAAAATAGGCAAGCAAGAAGATCTAAGTAACTTTGACAAGGTTTAAATAGTGATGGCCACACGACTGGCTCAGAGCATCTCTGTGGAGGAGCCCGGTTGCCTGCCTGCTGCCTTTTGACTATGGACCAGCATTTAAATACTTTATTTTCCTATGCAGAAAGGTAGATTCTCGGATTTACTGAATGAACTCATTTAAACCAGATAGCTATGCCATGGAGCCTATTTCTGTAATAAAAGACTTTGGCTCCATGGCAATTGAACTGTATGTGTGTGGTCTGAGAGCCAATCAGTAATAATGTGCGCTCAGACCTAAGCTATCTGGGGATAGGTAGAATCAGGGCCGGACTGGCCCACCGGGATACCGGGAAATTTCCCGGTGGGCCGTCGGCACCTGGGGCCGGGCAGCCAGCTGGCTCACCTGCGGCCGCAGAGGGAGCTCCCTTGCCGGCCGCAGGGGGAGCTGGCTGTTCTTGCCGGCCGCAGGGTTTGCTGGCTGTTCTTGCCGGCCGCAGGGGGAGCTGGCTGTTGTGTCTCTGCTCCCCCTCCCCAGCGCGCCGCACAGTGAGGCTGGGGGCCGGAATATGATGTCATATTCCGGCCCCGGTCTCTTTGTAGTGCGCTGGGGAGGGGGAGTAGAGACACAACAGCCAGCTCCCCCTGCGGCCGGCAAGAACAGCCAGCAAACCCTGCGGCCGCTAAGGGAGCTCCCTCTGCGGCCGCCAGCCGCCAGTCCCCACAGGTAGAAATTGTGTATGTGTGTGTGTGTGTTTCATTTGTGTGTGTGTGTGTCTGTCTGTCATGGTGTGTGAGTGTCTGTCTGTGTCAGCAATGTGTGTCTGTGTCATTGTTTGTGTCTCTGTGTCATGGTGTGTGTGTCACTGTCTGTCATGGTGTGTGCGTCTGTGTCATGCAATGTGTGTCTGTCATTGTGTCTGTGTGTGTCATGGTGTGTGTGTGTGTGTTTGTCTGTGTCATGTAATGTGTGTCTGTCTGTCACAGTGTGTGTGTGTCTGTGTCACGGTCTCTCTGTGTCGTGGTCTGTGTGTCACGGTCTGTCTGTGTCATGGTGTGTGTTTCTGTCTGTGTCACGGTCTGTCTGTGTCATGGTATGTGTGTGTGTATGTGTGTTTTTACTCACTTTTTTTTCCCCACGTCATGCTGGTCTCCCCTCGCCCTGCCTCTACGGCTGAGATCATCAAGCTTGATGATCTCAGCCAATCCGCACTGACACAGGAAGCACCTCTAGTGACCGTCTGAGTGTCTGTCACTAGGAAGCAATGTAAACACTGCCTTTTCTCTTAAAAGTCAGTGTTTACATTGAAAAGCCTGCAGGGACAGGCTATAGACACCAATACCACTACATTAAGCTGTGTGTGTGCACGCGCTTGCTTGTGTGTGTTTAGACTGCTACTGAGTGAACTTGTGTTTTTATGTCAATAACCTTATGTATGAGGCTGTGTATCAATCCGCTTGTGTCAGTGAGATTGTCTGTGTATGCATGTGAGTATGCTTACTGTATAATTAAAGATTTTACTCTGAAAGAACCAATATTTTATATTGGAAAAAGATATATATATATATATATATATATATATATATATAAAATATTGCCAGAGATAGCACTCCAAGGACTAATATAAAATATAACTTTTATTACCTTCACTAAAACAACACAAGGTCAACGTTTCAGCTTGATCCCCTCAAGCTTTCGTCAGGAGATGTCCTGACGAAAGCTTGAGGGGATCAAGCTGAAACGTTGACCTTGTGTTGTTTTAGTGGAGGTAATAAAAGTTATATTTTATATTAGTCCTTGGAGTGCTATCTCAGGAAATATTTTTTGCATTTTTGGCTGACAAGCACCGGGCATTGAATATTGAATTGGTGGAGTACAAGATCCGTTTGGTTTTATATATATATATATATATATATATATATATATCTCAATCATCTAGGGTTGCAAGACATAGCCTTACATATTACATGCGACAATATATGGTGAAATGACTTATGGGGCTGGCATAGATTTTTTTTCCAGGGCTGCTTTGGAATCCCCAGTCCGGCCCTGGGTAGAATGTGTATGTTCTATGTGATAAATGTAACCTTGTGTATTTTATCGTATTTTACTGTATTTTGCTACCATGTGGCTAATGGAGTTTGCCTCTGTCCTTGGATTAATTCTCAATTATCTCCAGGATAGAAGACTCTGTGGAACTGGTTTTGGGCAGAAAAGCCATGCTTCATTTGGTCACAAAGTACTTTGATCTATCTTTTGAACCAATGGACCAATTTGTATGATTTTGGAGTATGCTGATTCTGAAAATGTAAATTTATGTGAATGTGATGCATACTTTTAAAGTTACGAATAATGTGGGAAAACTATCTTTCTCTGCCTATGATAATTACATTACCCATTGTGTAAGGTAATTGTATCACAGGCAGAAGGGAGGATTTTGTGTGGGAGTGTCTGAGTGTATTGTACGTGTTTATTGGTTGTTTTCCAAAACCCTGTGGGTGGTACTAATGTGTAAGAATGTGTATATAAGAACAATAAACTCACAGCTCTGTCTGTTCCTGTTTTGACCCTCAACACAGAGCCTTGTCTCGTTCTTGGGGGGATTTATTGTATGCTGTTCCAGTTCGACTGCTAGAAGTGTAAACCTTTCGTATGATTTTTCCTATTCGACTGTTTACAGCATTCGCATGTTTGAGAGCATTCATATGCTTCCCCGGTTCGGTGGATTGGTGTCTACAGTAGCTGTGCCTGTGTCTCTGGAAGGGGAAGATCTACTAAACGGCGGTTTAACCCCTTTTTATGCCCTGGGGTGCCGTTACAATCTCCAAAACAGCAAGTCTTGTGGGGGTGTTCCTGGTATGCAATGGTTAGTACCTACCAAAAGTAGTGCAAGGAAGGGCAACTGGTGTCACATCAAGGGAGCCCAAGTCTCATTCATGCACATGGAAAGCAAAGGCTAGACGATCTGGTCCAATTACGCAGAAGAGGTACTGTAGCTCAATTTCCTTAAAAACGTAATGCCGTAATGTAACACAGTGCATCGCAGACCGGTCTGAGTGTCCATGATGATCTCCTATTGTTCCAATAAGTTTTAAACTGCTATCTATGGGATTCCTGGTATCCTAAAATCTGGTCTGTCCATTGGACTATTCCATGTGAGCGACATGTTTATGCTCTACTAAATGTAAGTAGGTTATCTGTATTTATAATACTTTAACATACTACGCTATGTGTTTCCCTCTTTCTCTATACATTTGCATATATTGATTTAATGGATTACTGTAGTCCTCTCCTGATTGGTCTTCCCAAAAGCCATATTGCCCCGCTACAGTCTGTAATGAATGCTGCAGCTAGATTGATTTTCTTCTCTAGTCGGTCCTCTCACACCTCACCCCTCTGCCAGTCCTTACATTGGCTCCCTGTATCCTATAGGAATTAATTCAAAGTGCTAACCCATACATTTAAAGCACTGAACAATTCTAGCCCCTCTTATATCTCTCACTGATCCATAGGTATGCCCCTCCTCGTTCCCTCCGCTCTGCCCGTGACATTCTTCTGACTGCTGCTCGTACGGCCAACTCACGCTTGCAGGACCTCCCACGGGCGGCTCCTTTCCTATGGAATAGCTTGCCTACTGCCATCAGACTCTCCCCGAGTCTTCAATCATTTAAGAAGGGCTTTAAAACCCATCTCTTCAGGAAAGCTTATGGCCTCCCAGAGTAATCTCTACCTCACATACCTGAATCTTGCTCTCTCCTATAGGACAGTGCTTTACTCTCTCCTCCAGCTCTGCTTCACATATGACGTCATCTTCCGGCAACCAGCCTCACTCTGCGGCGCACGAGGGATCTGAGCAGACCGCTCAGAGGAAGTGCTCCTTCGCCAGCCGCCCGCCCGCCCATCAGCCCGACCCCACTGGACCCCAGGGAGAAAGAGAACCCCCCCCAGCATTCCCAAAGGTAAAAAAAAAGTGTTAATGTGAGTGATTGTGTGTGTGTGTCTGACTGTGTGTGTGTTTGTGTCTGACTGTGTGTGTGTGTTTGTGTCTGACTGTGTGTTTGTGTCTGACTGTGTGTCTGTGTGTGTGTGTGTGTCTGACTGTGTGTGTGTGTCTGACTGTGTTTGTGTGTGTCTGACTGTGTGTCTGACTGTGTTTGTGTCTGACTGTGTGTGTGTCTGACTGTGTGTGTGTGTTTGTGTCTGACTGTGTGTTTGTATGTCTGACTGTGTGTGTGTGTCTGACTGTGTTTGTGTCTGACTGTGTGTGTGTGTCTGACTGTGTGTGTGTTTGTGTCTGACTGTGTGTCTGTGTCTGACTGTGTGTCTGTGTCAGACTGTGTGTGTGTATTTAGAAGGTGGGGCGGGGGGAAGGGTTGTGTGGGGGTGGTGCGGGGCGATTAGGGCACCTGAGTTTTGTCCTGCCTAGGGCAGCACAAAACCAGGATACACCACTGGGCAGAGAAGAACAAACTGGCAGTGCCCCAATTATTGAGATCCCGCGCCATAAAGAAAAGATACTAAATATGCGAGTGGCAAGGGGAGGAGTATAATCATAATGATATAAGGAAAGGAAGACATGACAAAGCTGCTATAAATCTAGTTAGATCATTCTTAGCTGTCTTGCAGAGAGCCCTTTAAAAGGACACTGTAGGAACTGTACCTGCCTTATCTTATTGAAATGACTATAGTGTCTGGACTCCCCTTGTGGCATCCTTGAATTCAGTGTTAAACTGTTTTCAAAGTATTATTGCTAAATGATATTCCCAGCAGGTCGCCCAGTTAAGCAGATGTCTGGAACATTGACCATGAAATGCAGGACAGCACAGGAGACCCACCACTGAAGCCCAGTGAGCGCGATACATCCTTATATGGTCGCTGTGTTTTCTGAAGACGTCTTAGATGTGGCAAATTTTTGCAGATGTGAGGGGACACCGCTCTATTAACGCCACGTCTGACATATCAGAGAGACTGGCCGGGGAGAGCACAGTAAGCCGTGGCCTCATAGCCCGTTTCCATTGCATCTGGTGAAATGTGTGTTGTGGTAGAACAGTGTTTGCATCCTGGGTGGTAAACGCTAACATGGTGGACAATCAGATGATGGATGTCACACATTGGTCTTATGGGTGTTTTTGGTTGATGTGGTGGTTTAAGTTAGTTAGTATTGGCAAAACTGGATAAAGCCAGATAGACCGTTTCCTGATTAATGGATATTTTGTACTGCTGCAATTGTTTGTGTACAATTTTTGTGAGGTATAGTATATTAGGGATCACACAGAGTCCTGTCAAATATCATGTCAAATATGGATAATCCTGAATGCAGCACCAGGACTGTGGGTGAGAGGGTTAGACGCTTAGAACCTTAAATAAACCAAATAAAATCCTATTTGTTTTTTTCACACCCAGCAGCCAGTCCGTAAGTTGTGAAATACTATCTCATCCAGACATTCAGGGAGACGTTGCACACGATGTTATGTGTAGCATATACCGTGTCATTCCATATTTTCGTATATCTGAAAGACATTTCCAGGGACATTTTGAAAGTACGCACATAGATGTACACAGACACACACAGATACACTAAAAGAGATGTACACATTGAAACACACACACATACATACAGTGACACACACATATACACATACAGGCACACTCAGAAATAAATAAACAAAACACATATTATTTCCTACTATTTGCCCTGGGGTGGCTACGATGGCTGTAATTCCACCCCTGGAATGTGGGACAAACTACACTTTTCTTAAAAAACGAGCCCAAAACATGGGACTGTCCTAGAACATTTGATACCGTTGGCAGCCATGTATTTATTTTAACAAGATAGCTGCCAGTATTATTTTTGCCAGTAAAGTATATGTTAAACAATATTACACTGAGTTTCTCCCAGCTTTGTCCTTTATGTATTATGTATTAGACCATGGGAATCTGTTAGCTCATGAGGACCAGGGATGTTGTAAAGTCCGATCTACCTCTGAGCCGCGATTAGGGCTTTACCAAACTTTAGCATAAAAAATCTGAAACGTTTATTTCAACCGTATTCTTTCTCAAATTATCTGCCCTTTGATTGTATGCGTGCATGGATATGTTATAGGAAAACAGCCCAAAAAAGATGCATTTTTTTTCTCAGTAATAATCAATGTTTTGAAATGTTATATTTTTAGTGGGTATCAGTGAGTTCAGAGACATACGGCTGCGAAGCTGCTATATTAAGCAAATGCCAGGCTACAACAGCTAATTGTTTATGCTCGTGATGTAATAAGCATCTTTTTTCGGGATCCTGTCATTATTACTATAAATAAACCGATCGTTTTGCTTTATCTTGCGTGTGCACGGAAGCCTCTTTCTTTTGGCATGTAACGTGCTGATTGGCAGCAGCTGCTGGGGACTGGTCTACGAGGGAATCCCAGAGAAGCAATGGAACAAATAAAAGGGTTCAGCTGTATAAGCACACCGACTGTGAGAAAGCAAGTCTCAGGTTCAAGTCCAAACAAAGATGGCACATCTTCTCCCCTGCACCACCAAGTGTCTGCATAACTCCCTAACCATGGCCCCATTTCCAGTGAACACAAGCGGGGATGAGGAATTTAGAGTCTCCATCAGCAAGCGCCATGTCGCTGTATAGAGGGTTAAAGAAGTGTATAAAGGCGCACTCCTTAGGCTGGGTAGGTTACTAGATTGGGCTAATAGTTGCCTTGTAGGCTGCTGACTAGGAGACTTAAAATATCCACCTGCTTATTAAAGCAAGGTCTGTAAGATGATGATCTGGCCTGACAGATATTACCGGCCAGTTTGACCTTGATGATATAATTGCTACAATAACAAACTTGATGACCAGTTTAGGAATGTTTCTTATAGTTTAACTTGCAGAATATGATTGTCAAGGAGCTCGCGTAGGCAATTATATCGCCTGGGGAGGATGATGGTGAAAGTGCTTTCTTTGTGCAGTTTTCAGTTTTTTCTTTTTCTTTCTTTCTCTTATCTGCACGTTAATTTTCTTCTATCATAACTTTCCTCTCAGTCACCTTCATCCCTTCTCTTTCTCTTGATTTGGGCCATTTATCTGTCACCGACCTTTGGGCCCCAGCAGCTGTGGGACAGATCATTCTGTACTGAGAGTAATTATTCCCTGGGTAGCGGAGAAAAGACAGAGACCCTGCTCTATGTTTAGATTAGGAACAAGGCTGTGAGATGCCTCACAGAAGTCACCTTTGGATTCATTCAGCAATAAACTGTATGGCCGTGTGCATGCTTAGACTTCTGTGAGTTCTGTGAATTTGGCTATTTCAGCCAGACTCGTTGCAGATAAGCGGTTAAAACCAAGCATACCTCTATGCAGAGCCCACAGATAATCAGAATGGTCTCAAGGACTTTCAAGGTGGCTTAGTCACATGGCACCTTTATATTAAATGGCACTGTCCTGGCCATATCTGTTTTTTGTTTTTTTTTAGCCCCTCCCTTCCGACTCCTCTACATTTTATTGTGTCCCTTGTCACCCCCAAATGCCTGTAGGTCCTCCATTTCTCGTTTTTTCTACCTCTTTATTTCTTGTCCAGAACTATGCCCTAGGGGCCGCCATCTTAGTGTTTCCTGAATGACGGGAACCACAAGGGCTTCATCTGCCCACACAAGCACACATTATGAAATTTGCGCGCATGCCCAATTGTACACTTGGGCATTCACGCTTGTCCAAGAAATGAACAAAGACCTAATTCAAATTCAATGTTCATTCGTTCGTTTGTTCATTTGTTTAGTTTTTTACAAGGAGGGAACTAGTAGCACGCAGCTCCCTTCATTTAATATGTAAGCGGCAGGGAGGTGTGCTCTCAACCTCTTCCTAAATACCCCTATGCTTCCCTCACTCTTTGGGGGGGTCATAAGCATAAGGGAGATCAAAATCAATGCTCAGTGAAAAGACCCCCCCCTTCAAATCCAAAGGGGGGGGGGGGACCTTGGACTAAGGCCTTGGGAACTCCTAGTTACTTGGAGGGGTTAGTTATTTTACTATTAAACCATTTGGCAATGGGTGGGGCTGAGAGTGGGGACAATAGGTTTCCTCCGCTTTATTACTAATGGGTGGGGGCTTGGGGGAGCACTAGGTTCCCCTACATTATAACTTAGTGCCCCCACCCACCAGCAATGGGTGGGGGCTTGATGAGCACTAGGTCCCCCGTTTAGTTTAATAGCCCCCACTCGCAGGGCATTGGTGGAGGCTGAAAGGGACACTTTGTCCCCCACTCTAATTATTATTATAGGTGCCTCACTGTGGGGGTATAGGAGACTTTTCTCAGGTTCCCCTTTATTGGAGGGGGCATTTTTTTCAACAGTGAACAGCTGCTCACTGCTTAGTATACAGTATAAAGCTAGAGGGAGATTTTTAACCTCCCTTATAATAACAAATAATAAGTATTTTTTACTTAGTATTAGTAAAGTTGGCTGACAGCTCCCTAATACTTGTGGGATTGCCTTTATATTATATAGCATTCCCACAGGGTACCAATATAGGGGGCTATCTACTAAACGGCTATCTACTAAACGTGGATCGGAATTTCATTATTTTAAATGAAATTCCGACCTGAAAATAATGATGGACATATTCTCAACATTCAGTTTCGACGAAAATCGTTTAATTCGCCAGCGCCCTAATCTAAATGACATGATTAGAGTGGAGCGGACACCTTAATGTGGATAAGTGCAAGATAATGCATCTTGGACGTAAAAGCCCAAGGGCAGAGTACAGAATATTTGATAGAGTCCTAACCTCAACATATGAGGAAAGGGATTTAGGGGTGATTTTTTCTGATGACTTAAAGGTAAGCAGACAATGTAATAGAGCAGCA